CACTGTAATGGAATTCGCAGCTATTGTGGTACACGGACGCCTGACAAAGAGCCATTTTTTAAATTCGCCCTCAGCCACCGTTTTTTCGGTTTCCGTCAAGGGTTTGTGGCAAGTCACACGGTCGGGCAGATGGGACGAAAAGCAACGGTTTTGTTTAAACAGTAGAAAAGATGGTGTTTGTTTATTCGCTGAGCTCTCGACGTGAAATCACCAATGCGTTGTGAATGGAGGTGCGTGAATTTGTGTGCGCAAGGGTTGATAAAGCGTCTGTGAACGCAGGTCGATGGTCTGTTCATTGATGCTAGTGATCCTATTGCCTTGTCAGTGGACTTGTCCCATGATTGGTTCAAATCGCAGTGGCCATGAGACACAGCTCTCTACGTTCACTCTCTTCACGTTCACTCTCTACGTTCACTCCGCCGTGTCCTTCTGCGTCTAAATTGAGCTCTGTTTGTTGATCCATTGGTCTATTGGCTGAGTGGACAGTTCCTAGTTCATAGCAGTTGCTAGACAGAGCATATTTCCGTATACCACCTGACTGGATTCTTTGCTTCTCAGTTTCTCCTGTATCATATTTTATGCGAAAAAAATCGTCATGTTTCCTTGGATGAACTTGCGACCTTTATTATTATTACGAAAGGATAAAATGGATAGTGAGTCGTGGCTTCTGAGAGCTGTTATATTTCTTCAACTATACGGAGAGCTTTCTTCTAGCCTGTCTAGTGTGATATTCGATGGAGGCCGTGCGGTTGATTTGGATCACGACTGTTTTACCTGCATCTTTGTCAAAACTGTCCTTCTGTATTTACAACCTCTCTGATGCAACATATTGGTTGAGATGCAAGCCTTTTCCCGGAAATGTGTTGTCATTCTCGTAGTATGGTAAACTGCATAGATGTGCGTGCGAATCATTCAGGCGCTCAATTTTGAAAAATGCATGCTGGAATAATTTTAGTCCTTCAGACTGCGCTCTAGAACAGTAAGAATAAAAACAGATATAGATTAAAGATTGTCAAGAAAAAACCGCAAGAACTTTGGCTTTGAACTGCTTGGTATTTTACTGCGAGATCATCTTTGCTCTCAGTCTTCTTTGAAAAATTACTGTAGTTGATTTCCCATATACAGCTACCAAATCAAACTGGGTGTCCAATTTCCTTCCCATTTCAATGTTGAATTCTTAGTCTTTAAAATTTTCACATTCTGAACTTTGGCTTTACATCTCTTTGATAAATTTTGTGAACTAAATGCTTCTCCACTGGTATAGAATGTGATGGATTAACCATAAACATTACCTAAAGAATCACTAGAAAACCAACATGATTGGCGTCAAGCTAATAACCGCGATAAGTTTACACAGGTGTCGTCAGTGTAAAGCTAGCTGAATTGAAAATTTTTCCAAAGTAGTGGATTTTGGAAACACCTTTTAGTGCTCAAGAGTTACCTTTTCAATCAAAAAAACTTGGGCGATTTCTTGAATGGCACATTTGTTTTTCTAAGTGCACGGCTTGCTTCTGGTTTCTGATGTATTTTATAACGTTTCGTGGAATACCTTACACTGATTGCCTCACCTTGTGGTATTATTTACTGGATTTTTTATTCCCAACGTAAACGATGAATAAATGCGGTGTCTATAACTTACTGGATAAAAAATTATGCGTATGATATTTCGTAACTTGGGTAGCCTCGATGATGTGTGTTTTACCCTCCCCGAAGTCCATTGCCGAACTTATCGAATTTCGTACCTGTCACATTTTCTCATAAAAGGTTTGTTTGTTTAGAACAATAACGTGGAATGAATTTGAAGCGGCCATGCCAAAAACCTAAAACAGCCCCAATAATAAGCCATTATTTTTTTCATACCCGCTAGAAATTCCTTCACACCACAAGGTTTACAGCTTTTTAAGCTTGGGGCTAGAAATGATATCAGATAACCAGGTGTCTGGGTAAAATGGAAATTAAACGGTCACAACTCGTCTGGGTTCTCCTACCTGCTGACACACCTGTTCTGTTTCTCTTCTTTTAGATGGCTGAGAAAATCGTTACCCTTGCTTATAACAAGGGTGTGAATTTTTTCGAAACCAGCGAAGCATACGGTAATGGCGCGTAAGTCTGAAAATGAGATCTTTGTGTTAAATGTTTGGAAAAATAATCCATTCTAGTGTTCTATTTATATACGAATTACTGAAAGAGCTATCAGCAACAAGCCGTTCAACTACAAAATGTAGTAGTCTAACTAATTTGAAAGCGCAAAATAGAGCTTTATTTACCAAAATCGTGTTTGCTTCGGTTTGATGAGGTCCAACACTAAACAAGGTTTTTGATAGGACCTATTACCCGAAACTTGCATCAGAAATTCAACTACGTTTATGTAGTTGAAACTAGCATGAAGAATACAAACGGATAAAATAGCATTGATCACTGTGAATGTATTCAGTTACGTCTGATTAACATATTGGTTTGTAAATTGTTGCTTTAGACCGACAGATTGTTATACACTATTCTGCTGTATCCCTCACTGTTTTTGAAAGCAACCCATTCAAAATTAGTGTGATTTTTCGGAGAGTGACTAGCAGCATGCCCGTCAGTTGGATTTTAATGAGTGGTCTGCGGGAAAAGGTAACAAGTGCCATACCTTAAGCAAAGCCAATCTGATCTAAAAGATCAAGAGTCGTAAACCTCCTCTCCAAGATCCAGTTGATCGCACCGCTAATTCGCTGCTCGTGGCCGAATGGGGAGGCCGCGCGTTCTGAGTTAAAGGAGCTTCGAGAAAAACGCACTGATGATTTCAATAAAACTAAAACGGATTTACAGCGCTTCCCAGCTTTTCAGCTTGAAATAGCTTCAATTCCATGAAGAAACCTCAACTGATCAGTTTTAAATTTGCTCTGAGGGAGATTGGGTTCCCAAGATCAGTGGAACTTCCATCTGAGGAGTCGTCAATCTAGGAGTCAGTCAAGGCGTGACCAGGTGATGTGGTTACCGTGATTGGTTGGTAAGTAGCGCTTCACTCGGTGTAAAGGGATTTAATCACAGTGCTGATTAGCCACTCGTGACCCAACGGTTATACATATATATGCATGCATAAATATATAATACTCCCCTTATAAATGTATGTACTCAGCATGTAGAACGTTGAATGTCATCTTTATGTAAAAATGACCCCACGTCATACGCACCTCCACAACCAAATTTTCACAAATGGTACAACATCTCATGTGCAGTTCGTTGTTGTACGTGAGTTGGGACACTGTCAGGGCGACCACACCTTGACAAGACGTCGATTAGGATCCTCAACCTAAGCCTTTGGCTCAAAATCCTAACCGCAAGGCAGCGGTGTTTGGCGGGAAATTCAAATGCATTACCACTTTTAAGAACAAGTTGCACATGTTCCAACCTCAAACATGGAGGACCAGGAGACTGTGTTCGTCATACTTCCAGCCATCGACCAACCTGGTGTGAGAGACTCTGTGAGTGCTGCGGAGACAGCTCCCAGTCTCTTCGTGATGGCACAGTTTCTTCCTGATGTGCAGCTTAAGTGAGATTGTCGAAGTCAGTGCTTAACGAAGTTTGCATTAATAGAAAATTCTTGAAAAATACTGGCAGGTCAAAGAAATTTGACGATTAGATCTAATAGTTCACAAGACAAACATTCATTTTGTAGAAGGCAGTTTTCAAGTCTTAGTAGACTGTGATTCCAGGCACAGTTGAATTCGTAAAAGCGGGATATTCTATGGAAGGTTTAATCAAACGACACGATAAATGTGATCCATTTTACGCATAACTACATGCTAAGGTTTGGGGACGCAACCTACCCATGTAGCTAAAATCCGCTTCTCGATAATGATGACCTGATCACATCGCGGGACCAGGAGGAGTTCAAAGTCAGAGCTTTCTGGAAAGCATACCAACTAATGGACGTGTGAGAGGCTAAGTTCAAGGATTATATGAAAACCAGTTGATGGGACGGCACCCTAACGAATCAAAGATTAGAACAGCCTGCTCAAATAATATACTGGGTCTGTGAGCTAGTGGAGTGATGGAAGTAGTGAAAGAGGCCGCGCTATCATTGTGCGGACAAATGTTGACCAAGTGCTCCTCTAGGCTATGAGTCATCTATATTTTTGTGGCACTTATTCCAATATTTGGCAAACAAACCAGAAATTGGATCTCCAAGACGCTTCCTTTGCGCTACGAGCCCAAACTAGCCAGGTGTGAAAGGGAGTGCTAGGCTCCTCTTCAACGAATATTTCATCAGACATATTAGTTTAGTAGTTGATAACGCTGATATCCAAGTGAGACAGCGTTCTTCCAGTGATAATGCGTAGTGAGAGGACGGAAAACATTTGAATATCAAACTCTAGCGTATGGGGAACCGAATCGACCACGCCTCAAAAAGTGGGTAGAAAAGAAGTAATGATTTATGTAGACGATATGGATAAGTTAGTCATTACCCATACTTAGAGAAGGTTATTCTGCATTCAAGGCTTATTACAAGGTTGCTACGACCTGTTCGGGAGCCAGCTGCACTCTTTGAACCATTTCAGTATCACATTGCGGGTCGACGCTTGAAAGTCAACCTTGGAATCAGAATGAACAAGAATAGAATAAGCGAGATATTCCAGTGTGACTAGCATTAACACCATTTCGAATTGTAAGTGAGATTCCGTCTCACCCACTCAGAATTTGTTGCCAAAGTCACCAACAAGCTTGAGAAAAGCTCGGAAAATAGCGCCTGTTTGGTGAGATTCAAGAACGGTAAAAAGGTGAAGCAGATTTTATAGATAGCATGAAGGGTGCACCGATAAAAATACATCAATATGTAATTGACCCAAATAAACAATCCGATTTCATGTGGATGCCGTTGCAGAAATCGTTAAGAAAAAGCTAAGTCCTAAGAATTTTTTTCGGATAAGCGTATGACAGCACTTTTAGCTGAACGACCGTTTAGAGGAAAACACGGTAGTCAGGCTGTTTTGAAACGTCTCTGTTCTCCGTTGCAGCGCTGAACGCACTCTTGGAAAGATACTGAAAAACAAAAATTGGAGGTGAGCTAACCTGGTTTGAGTGGCATGCAATATCACGTATCTTTTTCCGTCACATTCAGCTTCATACCCCGAACGGGTGTTCTACGCACTCATACTAATTGACCACACAAAACGCATGCAAAGCATCCTGGAACTTGGGATTACGGAGTTTCAGTTGTAGTTTGTTTGCCCGCTAGTTTACACAAGGGGCTGCGAGAATTGTGAATAAACTGACGACAGCATTCGGCATCACCCTAGGCTCGTCCGTGTTTGCGTCAGACTGCGTTTACTCCGGAGCCTGAAAAAACCTCTGACACCAGCTTATGGACCGCCTCCCCAAAATAACCAAAAAGGCAGCCTTACTGTATGGTTGTAAAATGGGTTGCTCTATTCTAAATATTTTGTATGTTCAGGCATTGGTTCCTGGATGTCTCAACGGCCACCCTAATCAAGGAGTCCCTAAGTCAGTGTTTACAAACGATTAATATCGCTAGACGATCATGTCTAATGAATGTGCTGTGCAGGATAAACTGCCATATTTCGGAGAGATTGCTGATTTCCTGCTACAAATTCTTCTTGAGGATTTAGTTAATATGGATAAATCCCAATATATGGACGCGAAATGGCAGCAGAACAAATAGTTGAATATCTTTGAATCTCCACACTTTCATGGTTAAGCTCACATGACTAGATTCGCACTTGTTTTGAAGATTCCTGGGATGTACCGCCTAAATGATCCCAGAGTCTAATGTTGCCATTTTCGGTTTAATTGCCCGGTCCAGCCCTGTCTGCTGTTGCTGGGTCAGGTTCACGAGGATAGATGTATACATTTCGTTGGGTTTTACTAAACCCTCCAGTGTCCCACATCTTCGCCAGCATGATTATTTCTGTAATAATCCTGGTTTTGTCTGTCATCTGCATTCTCTGTACTGGTGCGATTGAAAAGCCCAGCAAGTTTGTTTTGACGCAGGATCCATCTGAATCCAGACCTTGAAGAGTTTTCTGTAGCCTTCTGAGTGGTGTGATCCATCCAAACAACATGCTGCTATATGTCGAATCTACTGAGGCGGACCTATGCAGTGCATTTGTCTGAAACAGTACGAAAGGTCTAGCCGGACCCAATTGAATCTTCCGTCCAAACCCCACTGGTATGAATATGACGGTAGTTCACGAGTTTAACTTTAAGGAGAACGCGAGCTTGAAAGAAACTTGGGGACTGTCCTCCCCTCCCCCAAAAGAGGAGAGAAACCAATGGTGGGCTGTCGACCAGTGTTCAATAACTATATGTGTATTGTGTTTTGTCATAAAGAATGATCATTTGATTTTTCCACATAACTCTAGTTTCGGTCAAGGATGAACCCGCAAAATGGTTCCACACTTTCCTGCATTTATCCATTGACTGACATTCATTAAACGTGGCAATTTTGTATAACAATGTGGTCTGACCGTTGGAAACGTTTGATTCGGTGAACGTCAAAAACAAACTCTCCGGATTACATCGCACTTCCTGTTTCTCTCTCTCTCTTTGCCTTAATTTAATGACACTGGGAAAAATTCAGGAGTTCCATCTGTGGCATTTTAACATTGGCTTACCACTGAAATCGTCAATATTTGTTTACCGTTATATGTAATCTCTGACATAAGCACACTAGTGCAGTTGTAGTGAAATTGAAGCTCCACGTGATAACAACAAGTTTGTCACGAAAAACGCCCGTTGAATGCTGTTGTGTTTGTTATGGCTTGCATAATTTTTTTCCTTTCAACGTACTCACAGCATTATGGACTCGATTTGCTTTCACGGTGCTGCAGTGTTAAATTTAATTTGGATGTATTGTGTGACGACTCAACCGAAGTATTCCATCCAACTGCACGCTTGACAGCTTGCCGGTGAGAATAATGTCCGCAGTTGCTGGAGTTTTCAAAATAAACCGGTGACGACTGGCGTTCAGTAGCCGTGAAATTTGCTTCGTGTTTGCGCTTGGTTTGCTTGTAGTCCCACGAGGGTAGTTTACCACTTAATAAGATGAAACTTAGTTTGGTAACTGTTTTTTTTGTTTTCAAATGAGCTTACATATCGTGCTCTGCTGTTACATTTTGTTTGTAGGCGGTCAAGCTACGTTATTTCCACACGTCTGTCTCGTTCTGGAGAGTAAGTTGTTGTTCTCTTTATCGCTTTACAACACCTAGAAGCCCCGGAACTAACGTTCAGTCATCCCATAAATTTGGTGCCCTCTTTCTGTTCTGGACATCACAGCACGAATAACCGCCATGCGGTGTATATTTTTGCTGACTTATTATTCAGACACTAGACCGCTCGAGTTGACACCATAAAACTTGCAGGTAAAATCAGCGGTGATTTAGTGCCGTGTATCAAAATCCTACGGTTCTACTTGAATCTGAAAATGACAGGAATATACTTTCTAGTTCAGCTCTATGCTAGAGTCTTCTGGAGAGTCATGACACCATTGTTATAGCAGGAACGTCCGTATGGCTTCCGAAGCTTGTTGCTTCTTCCTTATTGATGTCGTTATGCAGTACTGTGGGACAATATTTCTGGTTCAAGTAGAGTAGATAAAACAGCTCCAAGTATTATCTAAAAATGGAATCAAACTTTATCCACACCAAAGCTGCTCTATTAGCCGAAAAGAATGAAGGATTTACATTGTAATAGGCACGATTATGTGAAACACTCTGAAGAGAACAATTTCTCCAATCGTTTTTTGCAATGTAAATCCATCGCAGTAGCTGAATCAAGCGCTAAGAATTTCAGACAATCGTTGCACGCGTGACTGACAATGTCATCTGCATTTTTTTCTTCTCAATAAAACACGTAGTTCCGTACACACAGAATAGCCCAAACTACATAGAGTGATGGCTTGTTGTGGAATACAGCATACTTCACGCCCTAGTGGCAGTTCGCTTCAGTTCAGAATGGACGCATGTGCAATAATACACTATCTTCTTTTGGGTACTTGAGCCGTTTACCATTATTTGTTTACGTCGTCTTTGTCTTGAGCTACACGGTAGCTTTGTTTTCCTTTGTCAAAAGCATGTTTTTATGCTCAAACTGTCTTGTTTCCACAACAACATAGCTGTACACACTGGCAAAGAAAAACAGACCTACCAAAGACTTGTGAACCCACAAACTCTTGGCAATTAGCAGGCATTCCATGTAGTTCAAAACAAAGCTCATGTGAATGAATACTGCTAAAATGCTCAAGAACTCAGAAGATGAAATAATAATAAAAACATTTTCCCCACAAAATGCTGCCCCATTCAACCTAGGTAAGCCATAATATATTGTAGGTTCACTAATCTAACAGGTCGTTTTATCTGTAAAACCCTAAGAATACACAAAACAACAATTTTTATTCTCTCGGGTGTTTCATTCCCTTTTCAACCTTTTGAATAATGGTGCATATACTATTATTATTTGTGAGTGCCCACATTGAGCCGGACACGTTTAGCATTGCGCTCACCTTTTCATATCTTTTATTCGACCATACTTGTTTCGATCAATTAAAATGATGTTTTGTTGCACCAAGACTGCTTGAGGACGTGTCGTTCACTGTACCTACTCCCATCAGAATATTTATGCTTCAAAATTTTCTCTGGATGTAGCCGTTAGCTGGTTGATAGGTTAAATTGTCCGAGGGAAACCTCAGCAAACCTAAGTGACCTACAGTAATCGGTCTCGAAAACGCTAGAATTATGATGGCAAACAAGAAATCTGCGTGAATTTTGCAATACTATAAAGAATTGTGATTCGTTGCCACGCTCATCAGGTCATTATGGTTATCAGAGTAAGGTGAGCTGAAAGTCACACGCGGTTGTTTTTATCTCCACAAACTGTTCGCCACCTTTGACATTTTGGATGCTGAGGGCGTTAGAAAAGAACTTTGAGCACCGGAGGCCACAAGTGCTTCGCTTGTTTGAGGAAACTAAAATTGCCACGAGTATCCCTCGTGTTCTCAATTAACATAAACTTTATACCATCACCATCAACTTGAGCTTGAGTTACGTTGTTGCCAAATGTTTTTTTTTGCTTTGCCTAGTGCAGTGACCGAGCAAGGGATCTCTCGGAAACGACTTGTTGAAGGTAAGCAAACAAGGCCGCTTTATGTTTGTGATTCTATCCAAATGGTAGTGGGTTTTCTTGTTTCGTCCGTTTGATAATGGAATCATGGAAGGCCAACAGAAAACTTATCCAAATGACTTCCAGACCTGGGGATCCCATTTTCCGTTACGTCACCATCCCATTCTAAAACTTTTGAGATCCGAAGGAAATGTACAATACAAAATTCATCTGTCATACAGATTCTCGTTTTTGGCTTTGTAACTGAAACCGTAATCAAGGAGTTAGTGCAAAAACGGTGCGCAGATTCTATGTGAATAAACCCTGAACGAAAAAAAGCGCATCGTATTATGTTAGGACTACAACATATGATGTTCTGGACAAATTATTGTAAATCACGCGGGATACAAAGTTCAAGTTTAGGGCCCACATTGCGCAAATGTAACTTGAACGACTGTTCACAGTTCAGAAATAATCAATCAATTTGTCTTTCCTGCTAAATTCTTGTAGGCCTCCGGGGTTCTCTAGACCGTCTCCAGCTGGAATACGTGGATATCATTATCGTTACCAGACAACCGGATACACAAATCCCTATTGAGGATGTTGTCAGAACGTGTACACATCTCATCGAATTAGGATGGGCATTCTACTGGGGCACTTGCAAGTGGACGCCTGCAGAAATCATGGTAGGTTTATGATTGGTATCTGGTCGAACAGCGCTATTTTTTCGGGTGTTTGATATAATAATGGTGAAATCGGTGAGTAATCGGTTCATTGAGTCGAATTCAGTTGGAAGTTGAAGATGTCAAAATATTGTATAAGTCGTGCTCGTCGGTTTTCAACTCAATAGATCGGACTGCATCATCAAGTGATGAGCTGAGTCACTTTGGTTGTGGTTGTACTCAGTATAAATAAGATCGGAAATTTCATGTCCCGACATCAGCTATACCTCATTCCTCGTTGAACTGGTGCAGGATCCAAACTGGATATTCCAGCTATTCAAACTTAACGGAATCTATGAGAACGAAGAAGGTAGCAAAAAAAGCTTGTTTTCTGTGATTGTTCATGTTGGCTAGTACATCACAAATTTATATGGTAGCAGAAATCACGTGGAATTCTACCGAAATGTTGGAATTTCGGCCGTCCTGCAGTCCGAGCTCTGTTTCCTTCAATCAGAACTAGATATTCTGTTTCCGGACGCCGTTGTCAGATGATCGTCTTACATACTTGATTAGGTGCAGCTGAATGTGTACTAAAGATTGCTCGTTTGGACTGATATTGCGTCTTTTTGGGCTCAATTCTCAGGATTTTAAATGACCGATTCAACCGAATCTCTGTAGAGTAAAAGTTATAAACAGTGCAAAGTGTCTTCATTAAAGCATCAATGCTCTGCTGTAACAAAGTAGTAAATACAGAACAATAGATCTGAAACACCAGTGTCCACATGCAGATCGCGCGTTTACAAACGATTGTAATCTAGTCGATCGAATGCAGTTTGGGTTACACTATCATGCTGTTGACATGCTAGTGCCGACGAAGCTAGTGCTGCCACCATTTAACTGTACTCAGAATGTCTGGTTTTAGTGTTCCCTGTAGGTTGACACAAGACATGCTTCAACAGCGTGCATAACCGCACCAAATTAAGATCCCGTGACTAGGCGTCCGAACGCTGAACTTGGCTTGATAAGTTCAAATATGGCCTTCATATTTTTGGCCAAGGGGCGCTCCGACTTGTCGAGATGAGTTTTTATCACTGGATCCGGGAAGGATATTCCCATAGCTCACAGTTAGATAGCGAGTGAACAAAAATGGCACTAGGAAAAACCTATTTTAAACAGGCTGGAGGCGATTCCTCAAGCGCACACTCGGGTTTTCACACCAAGATGACGGGCTCTGCTTCTCATCGCTTTACACGGTACCCTCATCCTGGACTTTGGCACAAAAATATTTGCAACTGCAGATGAGTTCGGGAATAACTACAAGGTGGTACTGAGTACACGTGTCAGAGCTTGAAATCATGCAATATTGATGACTTCATCAAAGATTTGCTCCACAATTTTGCATTCTGAATGTGCAAAGCCAACCCCACATTTAAGTAACTGGAGTTCACGCGCTCGTTCTGTCGGCCGAAAGACCGTCACGCGGTTTTCAATAAAATGGTGGCAGCAGCAAATGTTTTTGGATTATAAGCTTTTCATGGACTCAACCTATAATAGTTATTTAATTACGACCTTATTCAAGTGAGCAGTAAGCTCCTTGTTCCCAATGGTTAACGATTTGTATGTCTTCTTTTTGTCTGTCGAAATCTGTGTTGCCAACGCTGGCTTGCGTAGATTGCTCTATCCCTCGACTACAGCGTTCCGCCGGTGGCCTGCCGATACGAAACACATGCGTTCACATCAAATGTATTCAAATGCTGTCCACTCACGACGACAAACTTTTGGGTTTCTAAGTGGATGCATGCATTTCATAGAAAACATGCGTTTAGGTAATTTTACTCTCTTCCCGGTTATATTTAGTGGTGGTGTATAATTTCTCCGTGGAGTGACATCGTTTCATAAATCATTTCTATAGATAACGTTGGTCTGAGTTTCTGCAGTGAAAGATTTTCCACCAAAACTTCTTTCCTGAAATTTCGCCAAAGAATAATTCATGCATGTTCTTTACGGATAGTTCAGGACTATTCATCTACGTGGGCCAAATCGCAGAAATTGCACCATTCAATCATGTACTGGTTATCCCCCTATTGCAATTATTTACTTGATGAAACAACTTTCCATCAAGTTTTAGGCAACTCAGAGTGGAGAACTACTTGTCCTCTCGTTAGTCTAACGTGTGCGAAAAGGTGAAGGAACATTAGGATCTACGGAGTTATCATTTTGACGAGGCTGCTGGTGGTATTCTTTTGTGTGCTTTTCCTTGATGGAAACAAAATGCAAAAAGCTTACCGTCAGGTTGGCTAAATTAGCCTTACTCTCCAACACTCCTGAAAAATAAAGTCAAGAAAAACATGCAATCCTTGCACTAAAGAGCGTTCACTTTGCTAACTATCATGAGATATTCTGCACTAGATTCAGGAATTTCCGCACTGTCTCCCTGTTATGTCCTCTTCAGCAAGCACAGTCTGTGGCCCGACAGTTCAACTTGATTCCTGCGGCAGTTGAACAGACAGGATTTCACATCTTTCAACGCGAAAGGTTACAACAAATGCAAGAGATGTGCGTAAAACTTAGTGAGTTTTTCATTTTATTATTTACTCCGTGAATCGGTAGATTTCGGAATACAGCTACGTCTAGGGGTGAGGCTAATACTTTTTTTGTTAGGCATCAGTTAGACCGTAATTCGATTCATTTAGGCTTGAAACGCTCAAATAGTTGAACACGTTCTTGGAACAATCATACAGAGATGATAATGCGCTAAATTAGGCTCTTTGTGGTTAGTTTTGGATTATCCAAAGTTTCAGTTAAATGGAGAATCGTTCATAGCAGAAGTTGGTTGAGACGCTCATACTACTGATTCGATTGAAGTTATTATTTTCTTACTCTTCTTTTATTCTTGGTTATGGATCTCGGATTGGTCACCGGTACACCACTGTGTGGGGGTATCCTCTCTGGGAAGTATTGTGATGGAATTCCCACATATTCACGAGCCTGTTTGCCCGTAAGTTCTTGCACTGAATGAACATACTAAACGACTAGAAAACATAGACTTTGACAGACTTGTAGGTTGTATTTGTAAGCAAAGCATGGACTAGCAAACAATCTACTGGATATCGTGCAAGACTTCCTCAGGAAAACTTTGTTTCCCTCAACAACCCCACTTGGATCTTGCACAAAAATGCCAGCTTAGAAGAGAGGGCTGGATTACCTGTATACCAATGGGAGACTAGCCTAGAAATGAAGCATAGTTTTTTTCTTGACAAACATGTGTTGTCGTTATTATTTCACACTTTATTACGTTGCATTGTCTGCTTTGAGCAGACCTTTGAACACACCCAGATGGTGCAAGCATATCCTTTTACCACAATAAGAAACGAGCTTTAGAAGGTCCGCAGTGTCATCAGAGGATATGAAGGAGTCTCGGCAATATGTTTTCACAACCGCCATCGTCTTCACCACAAGTGCTTTTGTAAAATCTTTTAGTCACATTTTAGCCACCGATGGCTCCTCCCACAGGAAGAGCGCAACCAGAAAGCGCAGTTAGACATAATGAAAAATGAAAAATCTACTTGAAAAGAGCTACGAAAAGAGCTGTATCCAACTTGTTGATATTTTTTACTTTACTGGTTTAGGGGCACCAGGCACTGCTTGAACACATACTTAGTCCCAAAGGCAGGATGCATCAGACGCAAGTGAGGCAGTTATGTAAATTAGCCAGCCGGCTACACTGCACCTGTGCTCAACTTGCCATTGGTAAGTCATACTTTACTGTACTTTACTGTAAATCGCAGTATCTGATCGGTTACTTTAAATCCCGTGGTTAAACCTCCATTTACAATAGAGACCGACGACTATGCATGTGAATTTAATCAAGTTACGCTTTTTCCTCAATCATTCAGATGACGTTTGATCAGATCGGTTAACCGGTCTGATGTTGTATTTCAAGTAGGTATTTAGACTAAGGTATACCTTTACTGATTCCGGTGAGTTTTGCGTGCTGTTAGTGCGGACTGTTAAAATATACTGTGCTCATAAGACTCTCATGTGTTTCGCGTAGTATTCGTGAAGCTAAATAGTTCTCGATGCGTAATGACGCCAACCATTCCAAACTCAACTTAGTGAGACTCCTCCCCTGACACACATTTGTACACCAATTTTGTTAAACACTCAAGTAGTTCACAGCCGAATCTTTTCTTATTATACTGGTGAGCAGATTCAATCTGGAAGACATACTCTCATAGTCTGAATATCGTACCGAGTGAGATATGAGGTCATCTTTGTACACTGTATAAATTTGAAGAATTTTATGATGAGATTCGCCTGATTCTCGATTGAAAACCAAATTGGTGGGAAAATGAGTGTAGTACACCTTCAGTACATGAAGAACATGAGGCCGACTAAGACTACTTTATGTGCCACAAGGATGATGAAACCAGTCGTGTGCTGTCGAAAAGCGTTCAGCAAACTTATGAGTAGATTCCACCAAATCCAATATCATAAGCACTTAGTGCAATCCGAGTGTTGAACCTTCAACTAGGAGCTTTCATGACAGAAACGAAAGAGAGCAGTAATATTAAATATAACAAGATGAAACAAGCAGTAAAAATGAGTGCAAAACTGAATCCACTGTTTTCCAAATGGTTTCTACTAAAGACAACTATCGGAGCTATTGCTTGCAGGCTAGCGACTTTGGACATCAAGAAGCAACATAATGTTATTATTAGGTGATCATTGCTGTTCACTTTCTCTCGGCTAACCACCATTAGGCAAATCTGAATCCCAAAACCAGAAGTAGACTATGATCAAACTTAATACCGGCTTGTCTTCACACTGGTTTAGAGAAAGAACTTACGAACTGGTACCTTTGCTGCCTTGAAGGCAAAAGATACCAGAGAGGAGAGAAGAGAATAAACGGGGAAACAAAAGATGATTATTGGGTTTGGTATCTTGTGTTATGGTGCGACAAGCTGTTTAACGTAACGAAAAGGATAAATTACAAATATTGGGTGAAATCAGACGTGTTATTTTAAACTAAAGAGGATTAAGATTCCAAACACTTGACGATGTGCAGTTAAAGTGGTTAATCGATTTGAAACCAAAAATTTACATTCATATACCATCATGTTTCGAAGTTTAGTTGAAAAGCATTTATAGAAAAAACACTGCACAATGCTTATTGTGATTATTTTTATCCAAATCAGCGTGGTGTCTGAAAACGCCAACTTTGAGCTGTGTGCTACTTGGCGCTGCAACAGTGGATCAACTACAGGAGAATTTGGAAGCCATCCAAGTGAGCAAGATTGTGTATTTTTAAAAATATAATCAAATATATGGACAAGAAAACCAGAAGATTTCATAACATTTCATTGGTTGCACGCACCTGAGTTCGATCTTCCCTAAATTCCATCAAAAAAGACAAAGAATCAAAGTTGCCGTGCAGGTGGCAGAAAGTATTCCAACATTTGAATGAATTAATACTGTCCAAATATTTCTCGGTCACATGTTCGTTGTAACTGATTTGAATGAACTTTGATGTACCGGTGTTTTAATGCTGATGGCCTGAATGGCTAAACTGAGGGTGTCATGTATCTTGGCTATCCTGGACTGCTGCTATCACGTGAAATAACAGAAAGCCCACTGAATCCGGTAGTAAAACTCCAAGCTGTAAGGGATAAAGCAATGTAGATGATTGGTGTATATAAGGCTTCCGGGTAGCTTATTCACCGCTTTAAAATCTTACGGCAAAATTTTAATTTGGACGCTTAATCACCATCACATATAAGCGCATGTTCTTCACACTGTCGTCCTTGGTGGAATATTTTCACCTGAAGAAGGTTTTCAACCATCTCTCCAAGAATCACGCACGCGTCTGCTACATTTTCCATTTACTCGCAAATATGGCGCCTAAACAGACTCAAGATTAGGAAGAGTGGATCACCAGAAGGTTGCCGAACAGATCAGGAGCAACTGACGTTAAAGCACACCTCATGAACGCACTTGGAGTTTACTGTCAATTACATCACATGACTGATGTACCATCTGGCAGTTCTGAAGAATTTGCAGCTAAGATGCCTTGCACAAGTTTTGGTCTGATAACTCTCCCTGTGTTTGAATACCTTTTGTTAGTAACTGAAGTTGTGGTTACTTCTTAAAGGATGCCTTTTGAAACAATTGAAATTGTTGAAGGGGAGCGACATAGGAATTGGCAAGCATAAGAAAGCAAATGTAGAAAACTTCGAGAGACGCACATTTACAATGCACAGGTTGTAAAAGCTGAAACAAAGGTTGTTAAGTTTAAAGGTTCGCCAAGGTAAGATGTGTATCTATAAACCCCGAAGTGTATCGTAGAGTCCGATCAACATACACAGGTTTTTGGATTTGGAATAGATTCTGTCACCTCATACGGGATCGCGTGTTTCAAGCTACCGCTCTGAATGGAACAAAAGGCTAGTAACATAGTGCGGCTCTGGAAATGACGTAGCCCGGTGAGCCATAGTGTAAAATATTTTACCTTTTACCCTTCCGGCGTTGACACAGTAGGCTATTATCTATACAAGCTGAATTTAAATTGCCCTCGAATAAGTAACTATGTCTGTTCTTTGCGAACATTCTCTATGTTGACTTATCGTTCGTTCGTTCAATATTCCGGACGTTTTTCATAAATAACGCCCATCGTATGACTGTCTTTTTGATTTCCTGTCATTCACTTATTGGCATTAATATGCAAAAACAATTGCGTGTAGACAGACTTTTATAGTCATTGGGTGGAGTGTCACTGGTTCGAACCTCCCGAGGTCTCGTGAATGCGTACTACTTATAACCGTCATTAAAGGTGAAACAACTGTGCAGCGATTCTCTGCTTATCATCATAGACTGGATTAACTAGGGGTTAGGGCAAAACCTCATTTGACAGCCCTTCCAAATTCAAAAATATACATAAAGAATGACCGATATCCAGGAATAAAGCCAAGCAACAATGCTAAAGCCTGTAATAAAGTAATGTTGCCTTGGTTTTAAAGAGTCGGTGTTTTCACAAAAGTAAAACAGGAGAGAACGGTTTCGTTCCAGCATGTTTGTCCTAATTAGTGGAGTCACTAACCTGGGGATACTTTTTGCTGCAAAAACCATACAGAGTAGCGTGGCTGCAGGCTAATCAGCGGCGACACTGACCGTTAGCAGTGCAATCTGCACAGCACATGCATCACCTGAGATGCAACACTAGGTTGTTTCGACGTGCTGTCCATTAGGTAAAATGTCACCGAATACTCGTGGGGATCCTGCCAATTGTCAACTATGTAGATTTTTTCTCCACCATCATTTTTGGACATGCGTTTTAAACATTTCAACATTGCGCAAAATCGGAATAGAGGATTTGTTTTTTTCTTGTGCAAGGCTTGCTGTCTACGCCAAAGATCTGATTCGAATAACGGAACCGATTGCCCTTGGCAAACAAAGTTCACCGCCGCCAACTCATAGCAAAAACACAACTAACTCTACTTTTTGAGCAGGCATTATTAACCCAGCGCAGACTAGAACAATCGACGCGACCCGATTATGCAGACATCAACGACTAACCAATATTGTGGTTTCGGTTGATTATACTAGTTTTAAAATGTGTCAGTTAAGTTACTCACCCAAAGAATAATTTAAAGGCTGCCTAATTTACAGCTGTTTTTACTCCTCTGGACCCTACAAAGCTGTTAATTTTAAGTGATGGTAGTAATACCAATGGTCAGGTGAGCTGATTCGGTCAGTGACTCGTGAGACCGCCAATCTGATATAAAGAGCAAATCGCTTACCTGCAACAACTGGCCGGTGGACGCATCATACAGCGATAACATCCGAAAGCAGCTAATCAAATGTCACATTTAGGGGCATCTGTTCAACCGACGAGTCTCAGTGAACAGGATTTCGCTCACGTAGTTGAGGCTTCCGGGATCTCACTATAGCTTTACAGTTGAAGTATAATGGTTTGAACATGGATTTTTCGAACCTAGCCACATGATACACGGCAGCAAACGTCGATGAGTGATTGACGGCAGGATGACAAAATGGGGTGAAAGCGGGACTTGATGAATTTACTGCACCGCCTACGTCTACTAAACATAAGTTGTTCAATAAATACCTTCAAATTCCAAAACTTTTGCGATGTTTCCCCCGAAACCAGTTTGAAGGAAGTAAAATTATCTAGACGCTGTCTGTTGTTTGATTATAATAAAAATTCTGATGCATACACCAGTTTTTACAACGAATTCACACTTTAACCCATTACACAGTTCTTCTGAAGGTGCAACCACGTCGGCCGTGTCCTTGTGCAGACTGTTGGGTTGTGCCTCGCTCTAAATCAAGAACTTCAGTTGACTGGATCTGTGAATTTCAATAAAAGAATGTTTACATTAAGCAGGCCCGTCGAGACTGAAATTTGTTGTTGAAGATTATTTTGATTTTGGGTCCTTCACATGTCCCAGAACATCAGTTTAGTAAGTTGCGTGACAGCCGATTTACATGATTTTAGAGCAGCTTGGTTTTCACAGCTACTAGAGACGCCATTGTTGGAAAAACTGTTCAGTAGCGTCGCGCAGTCAAGTCAAATTCACTGTGGATGTCTCTGATGTGTTCTTCTTGGGGCAAAACCTGAAATTCCGTCAGTCTTAAGTTCTACTCAAAACCAAGGTTCTAGTTCTGTTTCCTCAGAGTTCAGCTACGAATCCATGCAATCCAGGCTTTATAATACGCTAGATTTTACCTAAAAGCTTCATTATTTTTACGTTCTAATTTACTCAAAACCTAGTTTTTGACGATTTTCCGTAGGGTTGTGCATCCACTGAATTTAGTCTGGATCTATGCGTTTTTACAAACACCATCCTAAAAGCCAGGGCATCTTAATGGATTCCAATTCGATTGTCCTTCTTCACTTACGTTTCAGTAGCAAAGTTCTTCCATAGAAAGAGGTTAGATTTTGGGAGGGAACAATTTCGGCCAGTTCCTTGATGTCAGCCCGTTTCAGTGAATCAGAAAAAAGAAAACAATGGGACAGGGAATGTTACTTATGACTAGTCTTCAATAAACACCTCACATGTCCGTTGAGGGTGAACTTGCAAAGCCTAACTGATTGAATGTTTGCATTACTGGACATTTTCTCAATTGCCGAAGGTTTACTTGCATGCCGGTTTGAATATTTTTTGCACAAGGCCGTGCTGGCTTCCACTGAAATGGGCAGAACCTTTGGATGAGCAAAGGGATAAATTGGTCTAAAATGGTTGACTTGCGACCCTTGTAAATCCGATTGTACTAAAAAGGTATGTACTCAATTGTCATTAATTCAGTCGCCAAAACGTTACTGTTTTGGTTGTTTGTTGAAACAAACCCTCATGTCTCGCCAAGGAAAGTCACAAGAAGGATGTGTAATCACTGAACTCAAAGTTTTGCCTGGTTGAAGCTTGCCTTTACAGATCACATCCACCATGTTGTCAATACTTTATCATTCAGTGCACACAATTCCAGTATGATCATAAACGTTCCATGGAATTAATGTTCACGCTTTTCTTCTCTCAGGTGCAAACCCGAATTAACTTCACTGTCCAATCAGAAATCGAACGCATCCTGTCGACTGACAGTTCGGACAATTTTCTTTGAAAGTACGACGCAAAGTGCTTCTTCAGCCTTCTTGTACACAGTATCCCTTCACGAGTCTTTTTTGTATTCGTTGAGATAACAATATACCGTTTCAAACAGTTTGTATTTTATTAGTCAGCTGACTTAAATAAGTTGCTCGGGTTTAAATGCAAATGCATGGATGAATGGAGAAATCGAGAGAACGTTCATTCGCCACACTTTACAGTTTTCTAATTTCTTGTAAGTGAAGTATTGTTTCTTCATCCTTTGTAGTTACATTCTAATAGAACTACACACCGCAAAAGGTCGAAAGTCATCCCTAAACCGAACGTTTTCACTTATTGACAGTATGACGAAACCATCTATATTCTTTGAGTTAACTCTGCTGCTGGCGCATACAAGTTAGGACGCACAAGATCAAAGATAAATGCAACTATCAGAAATATATCTTAAGGGAGCTTATGGTATAGTCACGCGAGATGGCCAGCTAACACAGCCCTGGGATGTGAGGACAGTCAGGATCCGGTATAATCTGAATGAAGGCCACTGCATTATCGGGACCGTACTCATGGATTAGATTACCACCAGAATTTGTTCAAATATCCGAATGTAGCTTCAGTGTAACGTATTCGTTATAGTAAAATCTGATTCCAGTTTACCTGAAATACCTGGTTTGTGATGGGCATACGAATGCTACAAAGGAAAGCTTCACAACAAGGGAAAGAAGGATGAAGTGCATGCCAAAAAAAACAAAGCGAACGGAAAGCATTCTTAAGTAAGCCGAGCTGACACGCGACTGTGTGGTTGTCAGTCCACGTAGAATCATTAGCAAAAACTGGGGGTGGGCGTAAAAATCACAACCCGGCCAAAGGTCACAGCATCCCTCTTACACAACTATCTTAGCACTAGCTCATCCACACAGACGGAGAGAAGTTTCAAGCGTTTAAGAAACAATCTAATGGACCAAACCAGAAGAACTAGACCCTTGAGAAGTTTCAAACGTTTAAGAAACCATCTAATGGACCAAACCAGAAGAACTTAGACCCTAGGCTGGACCCAAACACATGTAGGTTTCCCCATCGGCCCAACACTTGTTCACCCACCCTAATACACAAATCCTTTCGGCCGACACTCAGCAGAGATTTAACTTGCCTTAGATGATTGGTCCCCCTTCCGCCTTATGTCTCGACCAACCCCGGAACCTAGTCAGTTGGCCTGACGAAGCTTATGTGTCAAAAGCGAAACTCTGTCCAGCAATAAACCTACCGACTGTCACCTAAATTTTTCGAAAACAAAGACTAAACAGTTAATGGGGCTTTCGTCAATGTATACAAAAAACTCCCTCGTTCATGCAGAAATCAATCAGTTTTCACTGTGGATTCTCCTTTGTGGGGTCTGTTCAACCAGAAGATTTTTTTATGCAAAAAGGCAACACTAACTTACTGCGAAGCGAGACGTCTGGCAAAATCATTTGTTGCCCATTGGCCCAAAGTTAGCTGCTTCCATAACTACGTTCAGTAAAAGCCTATTTAAGTTGTTTACTGTAATAGACTAGAAGCAATGACACGTAAAAGGGCGTAAAGGCAACGGTCAGCAAATAAGATCCCTTGGCCCACCCTAAACGTCAATGAAACAATGGTCAGTTATTGGTCAACGAGATACTTCGGTATGATGTGAAACGGAACAGATTCTCAAATTTACTCCTAAACTTACGCCTTCTTTTCTGTTGCATTTGTTCTCCGACGTCCGTTGTTTTGAGCTACTTTTGGTGTTGTCATATTATCCACATAAATTTCGCCCTCTGTTGCTAATGAATTATTGCTGGAAAAAGTTAACATACTTTATGTTCTGTCCGTCCCTCGACGAAAAATTCATGAACTCGACCATGACGTTGACTGGGTTGCGAAGGCCTACCAAATGGCCAAAAATTATGTCACTTTGCCTGAGTGAAATCAAAACCACCGTGTCAAAAAAAGCAGCATGTCACGTAAGACTTTAGAGGGTACAAAGTAAACAAGAGATGGTGTCACTAATATATCAATGCGACCAAGATGCTTTGATCAAATAATGCACAGATATAATAAGAATGATTTTGGATGAACTGGTTACTTGTGAACGATAGGCGAAGGGTGAAAAACAGGTGTATTTCTTGGTGAAAATCGACCAAAATCAATCAAAATTGTGGGCTTTATACTCACTGGCAGAGAGTTTCTACAACGTTATTGCTAAGGTATGCTTGACGGCTCTGAACTTGAAAATTCCAACCAGCAACCTGACACTCCGGGTTGAAAGTTGTGTAATGCAGCAGACGACAAAGAGAAAAATGCGTTTGTGGCACTAACATGATAAGACCTCGAAAGTTAGTCCACTAGATTATCATTTTACAAATACCTTGTCTGACTGAGTATGAGTGGTGTGCGATCTCTACAATCAGCACTCAAATCCTGTCGAATGGATGTTGGCTTCCCTAGTTAAGTTTCTGTAATGATTCCAACATGCTCTCTCAGTTTGTATTTGCAAACTAATCGCATAAAACAAAAGTGCTCCTCATAAATTCTGAATGAGAGTTACAGGTTAAACTGTGAGCTGGAAGAGGTTGTCACCCATATAAATATGAATAAAGTCAAAGTGCGCTTACCCGAAAGCTATTTGACACCAAAATATTTGGATTAAAATTAAACGCTTACAGCATCTTGTAACCAAAGAATGAGTACAGCTTGTGAAGTTACTTACAACTCTCGTTCCTCAGCTGAAAAAGCTCTCGCGCGCATACCAAACTCATGATTATCTCATATCAAGTCTCGTTGAATAAGAAACGGTCAGTTCAGAACCTTCTCCTAATTATTTCGAAGGTTGTATCTGTGCACAAGAACGTCGAAACATTGTTGACATTAAATTGAGACGAACGGTTTACTCATTGGGCGTTTCTTGTTTCAAAGAAATTACTTGGTATAATACATATATATATGATATATATATAAACTATGAAGTACTTGATTCAGTGATTATGCAAACACAATCTATCATCTTGAAAAATTCACCCATTTGTATATCAATCTGGTTGCCACAGAAAGACTCAACTGAATCATTCATTCTGATATTCTGCAACTGAATCTGTTGCATAGAGCCACCTCATGTTTTATTTGGTATAATATTCAAAATATTGCAGTACTTTTTCATAAAACGAACTACTCACAAGGTTCCTGCCAACACTTCAACAGCCCACAACCAGTCTCACTCTTTTTGGGGTTCATCATCATTATCATTCGTCAATCGTACGTTGTCCTTAAGCCCCAGTTGGACTGATTTTAGCAGATACACTCATTCGCGTACCAATTTGGTTTTTACAGAGATTGCACCTACCTCATGAGTCCCAAGAACAGCGAAACTGTTTGTGGAATGTCGATGTGTTTTCAGCAACCTTGTGAGTAGCTTTCTCATGAGAATTTATCATTATTAAAATGATTACGCCCACTTTTAGGTGAGTCATGGGAAAACTCATTCCCTATAAGAGAAAGATGAGTAATAGTGTGCACAAAAATAGCCTTTTAACTTCCAGTTATGGAGTTGCCGCAATGAATATTAGGCGCAGTAGCAAACTGAAAGATTTATCTAAGAGATAGGAAAGGACTGTTGGAAAAATACGTGCTAAAATAAAAGACCAAGAAATACACTAAAATATACAATAGTGGTCGGTGTTTGATTTGCTCTAATAATAACACAAGTTACCAAATGCACAAGGCTACCAAGTGACGTTTCGACCACAATAGCCAGGCCACATGGTGGCAAGTAGCACAAAGAACAATTTCGTTCAGGATATTTACCATTGGGCCGCCCCGAGATTTGTGATTTTAGACTCAGCGGTAAACACGATAGTGATAACGCAAAATTGTTCAGCTGACGCCTCACGCTGATTGGCTGAATAAGGAAAATTCCATTGATATACAAGAGGCGTTCATAACCCTCAGAGCGATGGTTGATTTTCAGCCAAGAGATTCAAGGTCCTTTTTAGCTTAACCAAAGCATGCAGATAGACTGACAATCGGCTACTAGTTTTGTAAAGGATTTGTGAGTAAAAATCTTACACAAACCCTGTACTATGCTGTTCTCTTCTAGGGAATACGTACTGTTGTTAATGTGCTTCTGAGCGCTGTCGCAAAGGAAGTAAGTGGTAAGAAGACAGGTGAAAGATGCTTTAGGAAAATAATAAGTAACCAATTTTGGAATGTGGACGTCATTTTGGATCATCACGCGTTTTCACAAAGGTATTCATCTGTGCCTCAAGGGAAGTAGATGGATTAGCCCATGGCGCTTTCGAACATTTTGATTTGTGGCAACTTTTGTTATCAACTGTCAATCACGGCCTTGTCAATTAGATTCTGGAGTGGCGCTGGTACACCATCCGGTGGCACGAGTCCGCTCAACCCTTTGTTATTCTCTCCAGAGGCAGGACATCGCAATTTACGTTCAATCGCCCATGTAAAAGAATACATTATGCTTCGTTCCCGGATATTCTAGCTGAACACGGGCATGTTGCCAACCTCGGAGGCATAGATCTATAATTTTGTCTGAAAAATTACACGTTTGCGCGTGAGGATTGCATGTTTAACGAACTGTAAACAAGCTAACTTGGATGGTGGGCTAAAAATAAACGTACGCTGTAGACCGAGCGCTTTCGTTGAATGAAACCGGTTGAAAATACGGGAAAAATATAGTGATTTGTTTCTCTCTAGATAAGTAGAATACGCAACATCATGTACGTAGTAGTGTTGTTCATGAATCCAGAATCCTCACAAGCCAAGTACAGTTCGTCAAGTCGTCTCCCAAATATAATGAAATTCCCGGGTCTTCGAGTTTTAACGCACTCGAATGTGTGATACGGGCAGTAGTAGATTTTGACACTTACGCAAGTGGTCAGTCTCACACTGTCCTATCATTTATACACAGGGACCATTTGGCAAGATCAACTCTGGTGATTCAAATCGAGCTGATCATGGGAATTACCTTTTGGTCAACCCAACTGTGTGTACTCGTCACGAATCTTCAAGCATCTATTACAAAATTCTCTAAATTGAGATAAAAAAACGCAGATTTGCATCCCTC